CGGCTCCTTTTCCGCAAGGACTTCCCGCGCCCTCTTGGTCTCCAGGCTCAGCGAGCGCGCTTCTTCCTAGAAAGGGCACCCTCGGCTGGCGAGCGTTATTTCCTAGCCCCCTCTCCGAAGTCCCGGCGAGGTGCCCCCCCGGTGAAAACAGCTCTTTGGCGCATCTTTGGCTCAACCGGCAGACGAGGTTGTTTGCGAGGAGGCGCCCCCTAGCGGATCCTGCAGGCAAATCCTGGGGAAAGGGAGAGGGTGCCCATCGTTGACAGGAGGGGAGGGATGGGCGGCTGCGGCTCGAGAGGGAACGCGAGTACCTTTTCTGCTTCGTCTGGGGCTTCATCCACAAAACTTACACAAGCTATCAGCTATATATAGTTCTTGCTGAATCCAAAATCTGGCTCCAGACATCCCATGGCATAAACCCCATGCCTCCTACACTTCTCTAATGCCCTAAACAGGGATGCTTTCTGCGAGTCTATGTCTAGTTCTGAGAATCGTGGCTAAGCAGCATTTTTGCTGCTATACAAGTGATCGAGCTGATCCTCTTCATCTGGCTGCTTCATCCATTGTCACAGTACTTAGAACAGTGCTTTAAAAGGCTTGCATCTTTTTACCCTTTTACATTCAAAACAAGAGGTAACATCTAGGCGTACTAACCCTTATGTGATATTGAAAGATCCACCCTCCAGGTTAATTGTTCTCAAGGTGGTCTTTTAAAATCTGGTTCATGCCAAGGGACTGTCAGGGTCATTCAAAACCAGCTCAACTGGTAAGCTTTGCAGGAGAGGGAGGCATGGAATCGCTTTCTTCTCTATTCTCCCACCAAGGATTACACTCCCTTCCTAATGATAATGGTCTCTTGGCTTCCTCAGAGAATTCAAGGCAGGGCCTTCCATAGTATTAACCTAACACACACCTGAAAGGTAGATTGGGCTGAGAAAGCATGACTAGTGTGGGATCTCACACTAACTTGAAATTACATCACCGAAATCTGGATCTCCCTAGCTGAAATCCAGCACTTTAACCACTGCTTTACAGTGACTCTCATTTATAATAAATACATACTAGTTGGACATCCTGCGTTCAATCCAGATATATCTTTCCTAATTTAAAGCAGATAGTTAATAGTACTAGTTAATATGAACTAGTTAATAGTACTAATTATAATTTATGCCCTCTCCTGACATTTCCATAGCTTCTCCCGTTCTTTGACAAATGCAAAGTAAAATAAATCTGGCTGTGAATGCTTAGAAATTATGTGAAAGAGGTGCTTCCAATCCCCTATGTGATATAAGTATGATATAACCATCACGCTGTACTGGGGCTCCCTATTTCTTAGGAAATCTGAGTCTGCAGAAAGCATGAAAAATCGTGGCTATTTTATATAGAAAAACAAATCCCTGCCTGCAAACATTTCAGAATCAAAAATAGACACCTTACTCAAGAAGTTACTAAAATTGACATTGGCCACAGGAGGGAAATTATATCATAATTGAAAAAAGAGTTATCAAAAAGTTGCAATGGATCAAAAAGCTCATCAGCACTTGAAGTATTTTAACTTTCTGAATAGTTGTGTGTTTGACAATAACTTTATTGGGTCACAACAGAAGGTAGCACCTGTCCAAACTGCTATGAGCTTAGAAGTAAAGGAAGGCCTACTTTGTATTTGGGATAGGGAACCATCAGGAAATCTCAGGGCTATAGACTAGACGGAGAAGTTTTTTTTAAAAAAATCATTCCAGAATTAGCAGTGGTAAACTACAGTACTTCTGTATTCTTGAGAAATGAACTGCATGGATAATTCCACAAAGTCAGCTGGAGATAAGCTTCACCTTCACTTCAGATTAATACCAAATAATTTATTACTGCCTTTGGCCAATCAACAATACAGTGAACCCCACAATTGGATTCTCATTTTTAAAATGGATAAAATTAGCTTAACACAAGATAAACACAACAACAAAGACCAGGCTCTTCTCTTAATAACAATATTTTTAAAAATTGCAACCGTTTCAGTTATGCTTGGCTCACATCTGCAGGACAATAATTTCTTCTTGGGAACCTCAAAAGTAGTGGATCTAAAAGTTCTGTCTTTATATCTTGATAAAGGATATAGTATAGAAAGACATGTGTCAGTTTCCAAGGTATCAGATTTATAGGGACAGAGACCACTAGAAAACTGGTGCTTTGAAAGTCTCTTCTTTTGGATAGATAAATACATTAAGATGAGCTTTTGTAAAGGAAATCCTGAATTTAGAAAAAATAAGCGTAGATAGAAAATTGGCTCCTTTGGTCAAAGGGATCTATATACCAAAATAAAAGGGAAAACAGAACCTCTGAGATAATAAATTCTGATTCTCAGTATCGTAGAGGTATTGGGAAAGGGCCTCCTTTGCTCACTCTAGACTTAAGTGTTTCAAATGTTGTTTACATATAGTGCAAGAATAAAAATTTGGAAATAAAATCTAAACTAGGAAACTCCTGGACAGGCGTTAATAAGAAGTATTTCAAAATAAAAATTCTCTTCTAAATCTGGAAAAGAGAAATCAGAGAATCTTTGCCTTGGATTGGATTCCAGAACTACTTAATTTCATTCCTCTACAACTTAAACTCTGGAATATACTATGGTTCCTGAGGTGCCTCGTAGCTGCCCCCTCTGTTCCTGTGACATCCCCAATTACAGGAAGTAGGGCAGAGGGTTACGGCTTCTTTCCTCCTCCCTTCTCCTCCTCGTCCTGCCCCAGCAAAGGTCTTTCTGCTGTCACCACCAACTACCTAGATTAAATTGCCTGCCTAGGATTTTACCAAAGCACCTCTGTCAAAAAAGAAGACCCAATCCCTCAAACTGGGATTGTCCTGGCCAAATCAGGACAGTTAGCGGACCTGGGACCCCTCCCAAGCTGTTATGTATTTAAGAACAGTCTCAGCATAATTGCTCAAGAGGTCATGTCTGGTGGTGAATTTGATGAGGTCATCACAAGAAGCATTTCCTAAAGGTGGCTTCAAAGCCTTAAGTGGTTGATTCCATCCATGTCTCTTAATATCCAATAGTAGACATTGTAGGAGAGCTGTGTAAATCTATGGCAGCCAAAAATTAGAAAGAGTCCAGTAGTACTTTTATAGACTAATAAATAATAAAATGTGTTCGTCAAAAAGGTGCTACCAGATTCCTTCTGATTTTTAATATCCAATAATGAATCATTACTGCATCTGCTGAGAGACATATGACCATGGATTCAAGACTAGGTCACCCACAATGTTAACTTTGGGAAGCCAGGTCCACCTGACAACAACCCTAGAGATTCCTGCTTTCTCCCCCACCCACATATCCATACATATGATACTTATGCATATAGGTGTATGTGATTATTAGAAGCTACGCTCCAGAAAAAAGCAAGCCTAGAAAGAAAGAAATGTACATATAGGTATGTGGATCTTTATGTGCACACACACACACACACATATATACACAGACACCAATAAGAAGCCAACAGTCCAAAAAAGGACACTCCCAGGACAAAATAATGAGTTAATAGAAAAATAGCTAGTAAAATAAAGAACCAAAGCAATTGATCCCCATCAATTATATCAACCATTTTCTCTCACACAGAGAAACACACAATACTCTCAAACACATACCTTCCTTCCATTTTCCCAACTGAAAAAAAAAGAGGAAGGAGATGGGAGAACAGTAATTACAATACATCAGAAGGAAAAGGGAAAAATAAAACTGGAGGTGAGACAAAGAAGGGAAAGAAAAGTAAAAAGTAAAAGAGGGTAACGTTTCAGCAGAGCAGCAAAGATATGCCACAATCCCGGAAATCCAGAGTTAGGTTTAGGATTATGGGTTGGGAAATATTCAAAGCAATTCACAGCCACTGGCATTTCCCACTTCATTCCTTATTTTCAGCAAAGGATTGATTCTCTTCTCAGCTGATGAAACAAAACTCATTCCAAATCACAGGGAAACCCCCCTACTGCTCTGATTAGGGTACATCATTCATGGGGAAAAAATGGGATGCCTGATGCATCCCACTGACTATGTATACATTTGTTTTATACAGTTATTTGGGTGTCAGGATAGATTGTCTCTAGTAATAAGTTGCACCTCCTACAAAGACTTTCCTGTAATCTCTCTGATCCTATCCATATACCTTATCCCTCATGTCTGGTGACTGACCTGCATTTTTCAATGAAACCTGGGAGAGAGGCCACTCCGATAAGCTAGCTCTTCCTATTTACTCTTCTGAGCTGTGAGATAACAAAACTTCTAGTTCTAACCTCAGTTAGATAATTATTTCCCTCTTTTGTCATAGTAGGTGCTTAGTGCCTGCTAGAAACTTAATCCTCATCCTGAGCTAAGCAACTCTGGAGGTAGAGAGGGAAAGAGGTGCAGGTCTATAAAACTTACCCAACAAAAGCAACCCCTTTGTGAGTTGAATTCTGGAGACCATCCCTACCACTTGGGCTCACCATTGCAATTAGGGAAGGACCCCTGGTGCTACAAGTAATTAATGGGGACAATTTAAATAAACATAATATTGCTTGTTTCAGTCCTGGCGCCTCTTTTAATGTCCTCCTTGCTCCGTTGTCCTGCAAATTCTAAATTAGCTGGCAACACAAAAATTTCAGAAAACAACTTATCTTCCCCTTGTTCTCCTTCCTTCCATCGTGATAGGCATAGTCATTGTTTCTAGTTGATCACTCAGTCCCATCACATTTCTGCATGATGATCATCACCTGAGAACTGAAGTTCCTGAAGTTCTTTCCAAATTCAGAACATGTATTCGGTTGTCTCCTATGTGTTTCATTGTATACGAAGTAAGGTATAGCTCTGGTAATTTTTTCCTCCCTACTTCAGATATTTATGTAGTTTCTCCAGACTGACTGTTTTTAAGAGGAGGAAGCTACTGAGGCTCAGTCCACACTCCATATACACTGTGTGGGTCATTTTAAATAAAATGCTTGCTGTGGGTGAAGTTTACTCCCCAGTCTATACACTTACACAGACTCTATCCCATGTGTATCCTTTTATGAGAAGTAAGATTATCACTCTTCCGGAAGCTCTTTCCACACACCAGGCACTTGTATGGTTTCTCCCCTGTGTGGATCCTTTTATGGGAAGTAAGGTTACTGCTCATGCTGAAGCTTTTTCCACATTCCAGGCATGTATATGGTTTCTCCCCTGTGTGGATCCGTTTATGGGAAGTAAGAGAACTGCTTTTACTGAAGCACTTACCACACTCAGTGCATTTATATGGTTTCTCTCCTGTATGGATCCTTTTATGGGAAATAAGGGCACTACTTGTACTGAAACTCTTTCCACACTCTATGCATTTGTATGGTTTCTCCCCAGTATGAATTCTTTTATGGGAATTAAAGGAACTCAAGCCACTGAAACTCTTTCCACATTCCAAACATTTATATGGTTTTTCCCCTGAGTGGATCCGCTTATGGGAAATCAGACGGCTGCTCCATCTGAAGTTCTTTCCACACTCCAAGCATTTGTATAGTTTCTCCCCTGAGTGGATCCTTTTGTGGGAAGTAAGGTTACTACTCATACTGAAGCTCTTTCCACACTCCATGCACCTATATGGTTTCTCTCCTGTGTGGATCCTTTTATGAGAGGTAAGGGAACTACTCTTACTGAAGTTCTTTCCACACTCTAAGCATTTGTATGGTTTCTCTCCTGTGTGGATCCTTTTATGAGAAGTAAGAGAGCTACTCATACTAAAGCTCTTCCCACATTCCATACATTTATATGGTTTTTCCCCTGAGTGGATTCTTTTATGGGAATTAAAGGAACTCAAACCACTAAAGCTTTTCCCACATTCCAGACATTTATAGGGTTTCTCTCCTGTGTGGATTCTTTTATGAGAGGTAAGGTGACCACTCTTACTGAAGTTCTTTCCACACTCCATACATTTATATGGATTCTCCCGTGTGTGGATCCTTTTATGAGAAGTAAGAGAACTGTTCATACTGAAGCTCTTTCCACATTCTGTACATTTATAGGGTTTCTCTCCTGAGTGTATCCTTTTATGGGAAGTAAAGGAACTCAGTCCCCTGAAGCTTTTTCCACACTCCAGGCATTTATATGGTTTCTCCCCTGAGTGAGTCCTTTTGTGGGAACTAATATCACTACTGGTACTGAAGCTCTTTCCACACTCCATACATTTATATGGCTTCTCCCCTGTGTGTTTTCTAACATGACAAGTAAGATTATCACTCTTGCGGAAGCTCTTTCCACACTGCATGCATTTATATGGTTTCTCTCCCGTGTGGATCCTTTTATGGGAAGTAAGGGAACTGCTCATACTGAAGCTCTTTCCACACTCCATACATTTATAAGGTTTCTCCCCTGAGTGGATCCTTTTATGGGAAGTAAATGAACTCAATCCCCTGAAGCTCTTTTCACACACCAGGCATTTATATGGTTTCTCCCCTGTGTGGATCCTTTTATGAGAAGTTAGGTAACTGCTTTTACTGAAAGTCTTTCCACAATCCAGGCATTTATATGGTTTCTCTCCTGTGTGGATCCTCTTGTGGGATGTAAGGTTACTGCTCATACTGAAACTCTTTCCACAATCCAAGCATTTATATGGTTTCTCCCCTGTGTGGATCCTCTTGTGGGAAATAAGTGAACTACTAATACTGAAGCTCTTTCCACACTCCAGGCATGTATATGGTTTCTCCCCTGTGTGGGTTCTCTTGTGGGATGTAAGATTACTGCTCATACTGAAGCTCTTTCCACAGTCCAAGCATTTATATGGTTTCTCTCCTGAGTGAATCCTTTTATGGGAAGTAAATGAACTCAAACCACTAAAGCTTTTTCCACACTCCAAACATTTATATGGTTTCTCCCCTGAATGGATCCTCTTATGTGAAGTAAGGCGACAGTTCCACCCGAAGCTTTTTCCACACTCAGTGCATTTATAAGGTTTTTCTCCAGTGTGGATGTTTTGATGTAATGTAGGAGGGAAGCTCCAATTGCAACTTTTCCCATATTGTGTACATTCATAATGCTTCTCTTTATTTTGGGTTCTGCAATATCCACATAAATCTGATTTATCTCTGAATGTTTTGCCACATCTTGTACAACATTTTTCTTTCTCATCTTGTGGGGTCAGAAAGATGTGGATTTCTGCACATTGAGAAGTAGAGGATTTCTCCACCCAACTGCTGAACTGGTTTTCCTCTGTCATTTCTGGTCCCTGCTGATTTCCAAATTTCCCTTCTCCAATTTTCATTTTGGCTGTTCTGGAAACCTCCATAATTTGTTCTTTATAATCCTCATTCTCCTGTCCATCACCTGTTTTGGACAAAAACCAGAAACATTCATTATATTTTTTAACACACAAATTGAGGGCGCCATCAGATTTCAAATCCACTTAGATGCATCTTTTATCTGACCATTACAATACACTGTTTTATTGCAGTTCCCATCCTTTTTGTCATCCAGAATGAGAACTATTCTTTGACATCTAGGTAGTTGATGAACAATGTTCCACAGTGTTCTTGTCCCTCATGGAATTCAATGTTAACATGACATTGTTGGGGAAACCATTATCACCAGCTCTATTGCTCTTTATTAATCAATTCCAAGTAAGCAATAGGTATTCTTGAAATCTGCCTTAATCCAATAATGGACTGGATGAGGGAGAAGAAATAGAAATTAAAATAAGATAGAGGTGCTGTTGATAAAAAGAACCCTGGATTTTGGAACTGAAGATGTTTTGGATGAGGCTTTACTCTCTTAAAAAAGTAGCTCCCAGCCTGGGAGTGCTCCTTCCACAGCTATCACTGGATCTGCAGGGGGCAGCTACAAGCAAGGAAAATGGAAGAGACATTTGGCTAAGTGGTCAAACATTCTGAGAATCTAGCCAAACAGAGTCCAGCCCAATTTCTAGGAGTTTCATCCCTAGCAGTACAGCTACTTTTCAAATTCCACCAGTACAGAAATAAAAGAGAATGAAAGGAGCTACTAAGGCAATATGTAAAGCAGGGGAGGCAAGACCAGAAACTCGCTGGGAGGATGCTCTCTCCTCTCTCTAAAGGTAATATGCAGATTTTAGCCCTTCCTGCTGCAGGGAGTGTGAGGAGCAATGCAGTTAAGGATATTCTCTTCCACTGGAGAAAAGAATAAACCAGCATTTGCTCTGAGAAGCAGATAAGTTGGATACTTTTGACTTACCTTCCCCACCTATCTGAACCTAAAACAAAGAGGATCCCTTACCCATGGAGGCTACATTCCCAGAAATTTCCATCATGACCTCCCTGTAGAGGGTTCTTTGATCAAAATCCAGCAGACCCCACTCCTCTTTAGAGAAAAATACAGCTACATCCTCAAAAGACATAGGAGTCTGAAACAGGAAGAAAACATTCCCAATTAATGAACAGTCCCAGGAAGTATTTGCTTTTTTAATGAACAAACTCCAGTAGCGGAGGTTTTTCTATTGATTAGACTATGTTAATATACAGGTCCAGGAAGTACTATACTGTAAGTTCTCTGTCTCTAGAGGTTTTCAAATTTTTCAGGCCACAGAACCTCTTAGTTAAAACAGGGTCATGAGGCAAAGTTTTACTGTAAAAATTAGCTGCCCTTTGTATCTCATGGAACCCCATCAAGTTCTCACAGAATTCTAGGGTTCTGGGGAGAACTGTTTGGAAAACCCTACTCTATCATACTGAATACATTTTGCTGATTCTGCAGGATCTTCAGACCTTTTCAGTGGCAGCAAGTCCAGTATCTTTCAGAAACAATTGATGAGACAGGCCTTGGATGCATGATTGATCATGGCTTGCAACCTTTCCTGGAAAGTGGCTTACTCAATAAAGTGTTGGGAGATTCCTGTTAGACATTTTAACCTGTGGCTTATGCTGTCCCTCAGGGATCAACAGAGTCCTCATTCAGCATCTAAATTAACTGTTGGAAAGGAGTTCTTCAAGAAGTATCATGAGATGCCATCAAATGGACTTCTCATCAGATCACTGGGAGCTGCTCCTGTTCTGAAAAATTGGTTAGATTGACGCTAATACAGTGGAAGGAATTCACTTTGGAAAAAAGGATTCAAACAGTTTTGGAGAGAGTAGCACAGCCTTAGAATATGGAGGAAAGGAGGCATCTTCTTCCTACCTGACTTTGAAGCCCAACTGCTGTTCCTGCTCCACCACAAAGAAGAGATGTTTCTAAGGGTACCATCAGTGTTGCTCTGTTCTCTGACAGTAAGACAAAAGTTGAGGAAGTACATATTTTAAAAACATCATTAGTATATTCTGGAGCATAGCGATAAACCATAGCCATTCTTCCACCCACGGCTATGGAGTGCAACTGAAGCTCCTAAAGGAAACCAACTCAGAAAAGTCCCAAAACGTCCACTATATGAGAAAGAATTTACCTGCTGATATGCTCTGAGATAGATCCTCCTGGGAGATCTCCCCAACCAGCTCCTTAAGGGGATATAACATATCCACCCATGCTTTGGGGGGTTCAGTGGCCATCTCCATGAAAGCCCCCTGAATCTTGAGCAGCAGCCGAGAGAAAAAAGGAAAGAATACATTACTATCCTTTGCCTCCAACTCCAGTCTCCTCTGGAAAGACTGGAATTCTCACATGTCTTGGAAAATTGACAGGAGGGAGGCAACACAATAATTTGTCCGAGTCTCTCCCATGGCAGTAGCACCCACAAGGAAAGCATTCATTAATTCAATAATACTGTTTTTCATGCCTTGACCCTTTTGAATAACCATGGTGACATCTTCTTACCTGCATCTCTCCCTGCTCCTTCTCCTCTGCCTGGCTCAGGAGGAAACCTTCTGCGAGGGCCACTGCCTGGGAACTGGTCTCCGCTCCACACTCCCGCACCCAGCTCTCCATCTCTGGGGGCAGGATGGCCAGGAACTGCTCCAGGACCACCAGGTCCAGCATCTGAGCTTTTGTGTGCTTCTCTGGCTTCAGCCACTGATGGTAAAGGCGGTGGAGTCGGCTGCAAACTTCTCGGGGCCCCTCAGCCTCTTGGTAGCAAAACTCTCTGAATTGGCGATGTTGTACCACCCAGCTGGTAGTTTCTTCTTCCAGGACATTCTGCTTGGTTTTTTCCCAGAATTTCCCACTAGTCCCAACCAGGACACTATGGGACCTGTTTCCTTCTCCTTCCCCTGCTGTGTCTTGTGATGCCATTTTTCTCTGCACTGAAATGATGTTCCAACCAAATCCGAAGACTCTGCTGGATTTAGAAAGCAACGTTCACTTGTAGGAAAAGAATAACTAGAAGTTGAGCCATCTTAAAGGAAGGGCTATCTACTCTCCGGAGAACAAGAAACTTCGCACACAGTGGAAGGAAGGGAAGCTGCTTTCAGCTCACAAGCTAAGTGGGAAAAGAAAATTAATTCAGAAAAATGGGAAACCGTTCAAAGCATTGACTGAAAGTTGTTGTACCTGTACCTTTTGGAGTCTTTACAAATATCCATTTAGAATAACACTTGGGGGGAATCCAGAATCAGGGTCCAGTTTAGATGGGGTGCAGCTTGCCTCCCTCCTGCTCCCAAAGGAATCTGTCTTATGCTGAGTGGAGTCATTGATCTGCAGGCTCTCTGTGGCCTCTGCGACCCTGAAAGCTTCAGGCAGTAGGGAGGTTTTCCCAGCCCAAGATCCTCTGAGCTTGTAGAGGTTCCGATCTTTAATCGAGGAGGTCATTTTTCCTGCATTAGCCCTCTCTGCACCCTCTAAAACGGATTCCTCGAGTAGGAGCAGCACAGGCTGGACTGGGGGCGGGGGGGGGGGGCTTTTGCCTGCGCCCAGGTTTTCCGG